CCTTGATCATAGTCTAGATTTCGAACCTTTCCAAGTAATCCTCAAACACATCAAAATCTGAATGTATATTCAACCGTTCCATCACAGGCTCAATCGCGACGCTTGGTATAATCATGAGTAGATAGTTCTAGAACTAGACTTTAATCTAGTTAAAGCTTTTAACATTGTTCATCAACAACTTTCCTAATGGAAGATTAAAATGTATCATATAAGAAAATTGTAACTTCACTGTAAGTGATAAACATCTATCTCAGTTATATAAAATGGAGGATATTCAGAACTCAACTATTACGAGAGATTAGCCTTCTTGGAGCGTATCACATTTCAAACATTTAAATGATATCGATTTAAGTCACATCACAAATACTGTTGTGACTTTATATCCGGCTTTTTATCATGTGATTTATCCACCAATCAAAATATGACTTATACAATCTTGGCACTGTGTCAAACCAATGACGGTCGACCGGTATGAGCAGCCTAGCGTCCTTATTGGTCCTATGTCCGCTTAGCCCGTGCACTTGAGTCCAGAGCACTAATATCAGTTTCCACTATGCGAATCGAATCGAATCGTTTATTTCGGACATACTGGGTTTATATATCAATCAAACAGAACATAACGTACATAATCTAATTATTGAATAGTTATACTATAAGAATGTATAGATAATTTAAGTCACTTAATATGTCTTAGACGTTACTCGTGATTTAATCTTCGCTCGAATATAACACCACCAACCCGGTTAAAGCACCGGTCCATCGCTTATCCTCCTCTCAATTTCGTAAACAACACCCCACACCACGAGAAGGCAATGAGTAGGATTTCCCTGACAAAGGCTATATACCCGTGGCCATGTGAGAGCATTTCGAGATGGAGAGCGGACTCTTTACACTATATTTAAATAAAAAATTGATCGACAATTAATCATTCTATTACAGATATATATCAGAATGACAGATACTACCATAGAAATGTAACATTAGAATACGTTTCATTGCTGGTGGGATGCATATATAGACCACCTCGTGCAGATACTAAGTTTGGCAGATTACTAACAAACATATTTTCCATTGCTTCGCACCAACCGCATACTTTTAAAATCATCGGAGGTGATTTTAATCTGCCAAAAATTACATGGGGCTTGACTGCGGTACCAGGTCGATATAACAAGCTAGTTGAAACATTAGAAATTTGTGGATGGGTTGAACAGGTCCGAAAACCGACCAGGGGGAATAATACACTTGATTTAATGTTCACAATCAACATAGACTCTATCTCAGTGCATACCAGTCATGAGTTTTTTATGAGTGACCATAGAGTTGTACTGAGTATTATTCACTCTTTAAACGCCATACAATTGAACTGTAAAACTTCATTGATGTACCAAAGCAGACATTTTGATCAACAAACATGGAAACGGACTGAAACTCTCATTCAATGTTTACCATGGGAAACTTATTTTACCACAAATAATGTTGACATTGCGCTTTCCAATCTATACCACAACCTCATATATTGCCTTGACTGCACTGCTCCACTCATTGGCCGTGTGGCTTATAATGCTAATAGGGGCCAAAATACTTTTAAAAGAAAGCTGAGGAAATTAAAATGCCGCTACTACGAGCAGAATGATGTGTATGCACTTCAGAGTATACTTAAATTAATCAACAGAAATGCTTCATCTAAACGTAAGTATTTTATGAATATAGAAAATGAAGCCCTACGTAGTAAAAGCCCAGAATTATCAATACTTCGGCTTTTTAAATCCCGTGTAAAGTCAAATTCCCTTGGAACTACTAAATTCTTCATAGTTAACGGAATCATTGTTAACGACGCGAATACTATAAGCGAATAATTCAGCAAGTACTTCTCGCAGTGCTACAAAACTAGAACTGAAAGCTCCATCATTACATGTCCAATGCTGACATCCAGACATCCGTCGAAAATTGATTTCACACCCTCCAACATCAAGCAGGCCATAGCTGCCCTGAAAAAGTCTTATGATGGTGGACCTGACGGGATACCTTCATCATTTGTGAAATGTGGAAGTAGAGAATTTCCACTATTTTGTTTGAAACTTTTCAATCTATCTATGGAATATGGGACCTATCCATTTGTATGGAAAACATCCCTTTCCGCCCCTAGATTCAAAACGGGACCACGTAGTGATATTATTAACTATAGGCCAATTAATTTGACATCCGTGCTCTCAAGAACCATGGAAAAAATTATCCACAAATAGCTATTATCATTTTTACTTTCGGCCAGTCTGATCAGCCCATCTCAATACGGGTTTATGACTAAACGCTCATGTTTCACATCGCACCTGGAGTTTTTTGATCAAATTACCCAGAGAAGAGATGTTGATCAGTCAGTGATAATTCTTTACTTCGATTTTAGTAAAGCTTTCGACAGTGTCTCACACAAACTTCTTCTTTTAAAACTCTCTTCATTTGGCATACAGAATCCCCTTTTATCTTGGCTCAAATCTTTTTTAGAAGAACGTAGCCGAATCGTTCGCTTTGGATCTTGCTACTCTAAACCTGTGAATGTAACCAGTGGGGTTATACAAGGAAGTGTGGTTGGTCCACTAATCTTTCTCCTTTTTATCAATGACGTGTGTTCCCTCTTTCAGTATGGTAAGCCTTTCCTTTTTGCTGATGACCTGAAAGCAGTTTATTATTTCTCTTCTCCTACGAAAAAAAGCTATATTTCAGCGGTAATCCAAGAGGAAATAAACAAGTTGTACGGATGGACTGTTTCGTAGAATATGCCACTTAATGTTGACAAAAGTGGATTTATTCACATTGGTCGCTGCCTTAACATAACTCTGACTGTACACACACATACACTCAAACCTCTCAACACTGTTCGTGACCTGGGTTTAAGATATAGCAACAGTCTGAACTTTTCTGACCACATTATATCTCAAGTATCCAAAGCTAGGAAGCTGATCGGATTGATAATGATAAACTTAAATAATATCGAATCGAGATTGTTATTATACAGAAAATGTATCTTACCCATTCTTGAATATGGTATTTTAGTTTACAGTAATTGTAGACATAATGACCTGATTAAAATTGAAGGTGTTCAAAGAAAGTTCACCAAAGCTGTTCTGGGGTATTCTGATAACATAGATTATCACCAAAGATGTCAACAACTCAACTTGGAACCTCTTTGGATCAGACGTATCAAATTAAATCTTGTCTTTATCTACCGGCTTATTAACGGTATTTGGTATCCACCCCTTCATACCTTATGATATCATCCCACAATCTACGCAATAAGAAGAATATTCTAGCGATTCCAAGAGCCCACACAAACTTACGTCAGAATTTTTTCCTTATTCGCTACTCAACCATGTGGAACAGACTGCCAGTGAACCTCTGTTGCAGTGAAACTACAACACGGTTCAAAAGTCTCCTTGACGATTTTCTTTCCGAAAGTGGATTATGTCACCTATTGAATATCAATGTATTCAATAATGATTTATACAAACAAGGTCCGTCATCCATTTAATTGCCTGGAAAGCAAAATCAATCCTTTAAATCTTTTCAAGTCTATCTTGTTTTATTTCTCTTTATCTTAATATATGAAATCTGCTTATGTTCGTATTTATCATTATTACCGTTATTAATATCATTATTAGTTCCCTGACACATTAGATATTCGTTTTATATCTTCTTATCCTTCTAAACATACTTAACTCCAGATTGTACTTTGAAATCAATTTTGACTTTCATCGCATCACTACAAGCTACGTGACTGCACAAACATTTGTATTCTATCGTCATATCTTACTGCAATTATAAGTTATTTTTTCTCTTAATTATTTCTTGTTACTAATTTGACGATACACACATAGTCGTTTATTCTTGTTCTGTATTCATAAACATGCCTATTAGACTTATAAGCAAAGATGGATAGTGGCTAGCAGTGGAATCAAGGACGCGCGTTTCGTCCTGTTTGGGACTCGTCAGCTGGATGTACCTGCATCTCAGAGTTGATGTTCACTCTGGGACTCGAACTCAGTACCGTTCGCTTCAAACGCCATCGCGTTATCCACTTAGCTACTGAGTCCTGATAGCCACTTGCTTGTGCAATGGGTTGAAGTTGAATTCACTTGATATTGGTTTACTTGAATCTTCCCATTGATGTTTTTGGACTGAAATTGATCAGTCTCTTATTGGCATATGTGCATTTTGTGCGTATGCCTCGATATTGCCTAAATTTACAAGCATTATAAGCATAGATGGATAGTGGCTAGCAGTGGAATCCAGGACGCGCGTTTCGTCCTGTTTGGGACTCGTCAGCTGGATGTACCTGCATCTCAGAGTTGATGTTAACTCTGGGACTCGAACTGTTTGCGTATTTCATGTCTCCTTTATTTCTATTCCCTTATTTTCTCCATTTTATTCTTTAAACTCAATTCAATATTCTTCTTAATTACAAAGACCCAATATTCTACTATTATTGCTCTAAATTTTTTTTTAAATATGGCAAATATAATGCTAACATTATTGGAAATTGTGTACTATTGCATTTTTTGAAGAAACCCGAAATGGTTTCTTCACAACACTTATGTACCTATAAGATGTTTGTGAATAATAATAATGATAATAATGGATGTTATAGAACAGTATAGATCAATGGTAAATATCTATTCAAGTGTACTATTATAATGTATGTCATTTACTTTCATAGAATGTACATTAGAATGATACAATGAACCTGGTACTGTAATAAAAGGGGGGGGGGTATTAGATGGATGTTATATATTGAAAAGATTTTGATTATTCAAAGTAATATGTTATTGAAATGATCTTGAAATTCTTGCAATAACTCAGAAATTTTAATTAAAGGTCATTGAATACTTTCTATTTTATATTTGAATATAGATGTATATATTTAGAGAGATAGATAGATAGAGAAGTGATAACTTTGTGGATCATTTAACTGAAACGTTGAATAAGAAGAGATCATCATTCAGAGATAAATGGTATGTTGTTATCTATTCATTCAGTGGAAACGTTTTGTTTGGAAATAGTGAAAATGAGATTTGAATAGGTCCTTCTTGTATATTAATGTGATGGTTATGATAATGATTATCGTCATTATGATTACTGTTATTACACTGTATAAGGTATATTTTATGCGATTGAGGTTATTCAGAATGAACGTTTGATCCGAATTTCTTGGTTGATCGGACACTTTTACATTAAGTGTAGTAACAAATTTATGACTAAAATGAAGATGGGAAAGGAAGACAACTTACTTACTTACGCTTGTTACTTCTCGCAAAGGAGTATAGACCGCTCACCAGCATTCTCCATCCAACCCTGTCCTGGGCAATCCTTTCAAGCTCCTTCCAGTTATGTTATCCATCCTTTTCATATCTGCTTCTATTTTCCCACGGAATGTGTACTTTGGCCTTCCATTTTTCCGCTTCCCTTCAGGTTTCCAAGTTAGGGCTTGCCTTGTGATGCAGTTTGATGATTTGCGTAATATATGTCCTATCCATTTCCATCGGTTTTTCCTAATTTTCTATTAGTTGGAAGCTGGTTTGTTCTCCCACATAGTAGGCTGTTGTTGATGGTATCTGGTCAATTGATGTTGAGTATCTTGCGTAGACAACTATATATAAATACTTGTACCTTATTGATGGTGGTTGTTGTATTTCTGCAAGTTTCAGCTCCGTATAGTACAACTGCCTTGACATTCGAATTGAAGATTCTCGCTTTGATATTAGTTGAAAGTTGTTTTGAGTAGTAAATAATTTTCTGCCATAATCCAAGCTGTTCGATTCGAGTAGTAGATGTTATTCTCATTGTAACCAAGGAAATAACACTGAATTATTCTGTTATATCCATGTCGCTCTTAAACTATACTTGGAACAAATGAGGATACGCTGCAATTCCCATGACATGAAGCAAGAACACCACGTCTGTTACACGTGATGAAATGCTAATCTAAAAACATCGACTGCGACGGTAGTCGAACATACGCTCATTTGGGTACATTGATTGTGTGCCCATACCGATTATTAATTAAGATAAAATTACATAAATGATGATCCATGTCATACTGAGCATTGTTAGCTTAAGTGTATTTTTTAGCGAGTTAGATTTTTACGGGATGGGGTCGCTAGTGTCATGCCAAACCCTCCTCCTTTATCCGGGCATGAAACCGGCAATAGCCCATAGGTCCTCCATGCGGAGTTCTAATACTGAGCACATAGTTCAGATCAATTTCTAACACAAGAATACTGTATCTTGAATAAACATCCCACCCATCCAAATAAATGCATCTCATATCTCATAAAATATCACTGTGGTAACCAAAGACGAATACCACACTGGTAGACCATCACGAAAGTACTGTTAACCGTCAATTACAATCAGTAATAGAACGTAATTTTGCCTTTGTATCTCTTTTCAATCCCTTTCAATAGGCTAGTTCAAATCAATCAGAAATTTATCAAACTAATCAAAGTCAACTAGTAAGTGCAATCAAATACAATTTGTAAAACCTCATTATGTTAATAAGTAGCTGAATATCTCACAGATAGTTCAGGTATTTGACTTAATGACTGATTTCCATTTACACATTAGTATACCATAATAATTCCTGTTTACCATTGCACAGGTTCACTGTTACGAATACAGTCCACAGTAGTACAACATTAAATGACTAGCGATTGTATGACATTCACAAGAATACTCCGTTAGCATTTCGATGTATGTCGCATGATAATGGTCAAGGATTCTTAACACTATTTTGATGGAATTTTGTTCTCTGAGCTGGATGGTTTGTTCGTGGAGCTTTCATCATTCTTCTAAACGACATCATCATCAGCACAAACTTCGGATAGAAGTGAAATGTTCGAAATTCTCTATATGCGTCCTGGTTTTGAATCTCACAGGGTGCGGGATCGTCGGTGCACACTGTTGAGGAGTGCCATGCTGGGACGAAACGGCCGTCCAGTGGTCCCATGTTTTCCATGGTGGTCTCGCTTCAAATGACTCATGATTTCAATCAATGAAATAGTGTGTTTTTGTACACAGTTTGTTCTCACCTTTGTGCCCTACTTTGCAAAATCAGCTTATTATGCAGTGTGGTGACAGTTTCACTTTGTTTTCACATGACGTTTTTTTATCCTCGTCTGTTTTTGTCTCCAATTTCTAGTTTAGTTGACCTTTTAACAAGTATATCATGTAAGCGATGATGGGCAGTGGCTAGCAGTGGAATCCAGTTGGACGCGCGTTTCGTCTTATTTGGGAATCTTCAGTTAGATGAACCTGCATCTCAGAGGGTTGATGTTCACTCTGGGAGTGGAACCCAGTATCATTCGCTTCAAACGCCATCGCGTTATCCACTCAACTACTGAGTCCTGATAGCCAGTTTCTTGTGCAATGGGGTGAATTTAAATTCACTTGGTATTGTTTGGCTTGTATCTTCCCATTGAGGTATATTATGTATGATCAGAAGGTTCAAACTGTATTGCCCTAATATATCACATAGTTTTGATAATTTTCATCTTCTTCATTATACAATTGAAACTGATCAAAGGGACTAATTGCTTTAAATGAACAGTTAAGTTACATTTACAATAATAGGTGGGTTTTCCTTTGAAATATTTACGCTTTATAGCGCTTTCTTCATTGAAAATGAATCCTATTCCTTTTTTTGATTGAGATCATTACCCGATTGACGAAAGCGGCTGTTCAGTGCATCCAGGTTTTCCATGGTGGTCTAGCTTCAATCGGTTCATGATCTCAATGAAGAAAAAACCTAACAATCTCCACAACCCCTAAACTGAGAATCGTATTTCCCTGTCTTTCTTCTTGTATTCCAGAGTATATCATCTATTTTAAAATTCTTCATAGACCATTGGCAGATTTTGTTAATACTAATCGCAGTTTCATTGATCAATTACAAACTTTTACAAATACTAACGATTTGTTTCAAGTTTACTCTTAAAAAATGGTGCTTATCTAAACGGAAAACACTTCGTAAAGCTGGTGAATGGGCAGTTGTCACTGGTGGATCGTCAGGTATTGGTGAAGCATATGCAGAAGAACTAGCCAAAGAAGGTCTCAATATCATGCTTATTAGTAATGATGAAGAACAACTATCAGCCGTCTCTAATCGCATAGCAAATACCTACAATGTTCAAACACGAATTGTGGTTGCAGATTTCACTAAAGTAATCTCCATTCTCAATGAATATGTTAATCACATATTATTTTGAAATCATTTTCATTGACTTAATTGATCAGTTAGATTTGTCATTCGATAGTGTTTGAAAATTTGGCAGGAGGTATGCGCCACTGATCGGTTTTCTTTTGAATTGATAGATTGTTAGTCGGGTTATTGCTGACACTTGAGTCATGTGATCATGTCAAAATGATCATCAATGATAACATGCATTTGAATGTAGAAATGCGACTGAAAACTTTCTTTTCACGAAAAGTATTTCTGTGATTCGCATGCATGAAACGCATCAGTTTGATATCAAAAATATTTCACTAATATTCCACAGCTGTTTAGTAAATCTCACAAACACCATTAAATCGAGGCGATAAAGTGAATGTGTGTGCATATACACTGTCGCACTTTCTATGCAGAGCTGGATTCATAATGAAATCACGAGTACATGTGAGGTGTCTCATATTCAGTATCAATGTTTTCCCGCTTTCTCCAGTCGATGAGGTGAAACGGTGATTAGTCACAAAGTGTTTGTTTAGTTTCTAGTGGCGTGAAGAAAAGAGTAAGATAATTGCAAATGACATAGATTGAGAGAATCATAGAGAGGCATTTGACGTGTCTGAAATTATGATAATACAAGATAAATTTGCAGTTAAGTATTTTCACCATATAACGTTTACAATCTTCACCAAATACCTCAGCGACCAAAGTCTCATTCCATCCTGTCACTTGCTCAACTACTACATTCACAGAATCAGTGGTATCAAGCTACATTGCATAATACCAACATTCGAATATGACAAACTCTCATTGAATATGTAAGCATAGAGAATTTTGTGTGATTTGTGTGGTTAATTTGTTGAAACGTATATCAGTTTACTATTGACCGTCGATTAGTTCGAGACAACAGAGAGATTTCAGTAGGAATATCAATGAGATGCACATGAATATTTAGTCAAATAGTTCTGTGTTGATGTGTTTGTGTCCAGAGAATTGATTGAAACTACCTTGAGCTTGTGCAAAGTATGAGACTAATGACAGATTCACATGACACTAGCGAAATGCCTCTTGGATTACTATTGTCTGTTGGTGATCACTCACCATCACCAACGTATGTTCATTGATATAACCAAGTTTCAGTTGAAGGTGTTCGTATGCGTCAAGAAAGAAAGGTTAACTGTCAGTCAAATGGTGTTTCGTGAATAGCTCTGTATAAACAGAAATTGCAAATATCATTACACACATTATGGCATACAACTGCAAACACAGAAACAGACAGTTAACATTTTAATGTCAATCTCACCACCAAAGATAGCTTAACGTTTCTTCAATTAAATACCAAGGCATTCATACACGATGCACCTAAATTGGCAAACACTGTTGGAAACCTGGAAGCACTGGAAGGCCATTTTGTTCTAGTATGGGACTCCTCAACAGTGCGAATCCACAATCCCGCTCCCCGCGAGATTTGAACTCAGGACCTATCAGTCTGGTTGATTTTAGACACTAAAACCATTGAATGCCGGCTCGGTGATCTAGGTGATTAAGCGTCTGGCGCGAGACTGTTTGGTCCTGGGTTCGATTCTCGCAATGAGCGGGATCGTGGATGCACACTGCTAAAGAGCCCTTCAATGGGACGAAACGTCCGTCCAGTGCTTCCAGATTTTCAACGGTGGTCTAACATCAGTTGATTCATGATCTCAATCAAATATTCAAACACCAAAACACATAGGAAACATTGGAATAATCAACTTCCACCAATCTTGTGTTCTATTTTGATTAGGATGATGTTTATGAGATAATAAGACCTGCTGTTGACCAATTGTCTACAATAGCTTGTTTAGTGAATAATGTTGGTATGGCGTTACCCTTTGAATTGTTTGCTGGAGAAGTTGATTCCCCGAATGAAGAATCCATTAGAAAGATCATTGATTGTAACATTTTGTCTACAGTCATGATGACAAACATCATTCTGCCAAAAATGTTAACACAGAAAGGACCTAATCCTGGTATCATCAACATTGGATCTTATGCAGGTTTGAAAGTGTTTCCTCATGCTACAATGTACTCTTCAACCAAAGCATCCATTATTCATTTTTCTAAATGTTTGGCTGCAGAAAAGTATCAAAAGAATGTGATTATACAAGCGATTTGCCCATTATTTGTATCTACAAAGATGAGCAATTCCATGAAAACCACATTTTTCATACCGACTGCTGAAGTCTTTGCTAAAAGTGCATTGGATATGTTTGGTGTTGAACAACAAACTACTGGTTATATTCGACATGATTTAAAAGCATATCTTTATGATTTGTTACCGACATCAGTTCGTATACTAATCATAAAAGCAATAGCGAATTCCTCACGAAAAAAAGTTTGATTCATTTAAACGAAATCATTATCATCATCATCCGAAGCATCATCATCATTTTCAATGAATATCGTTTTACAAGATGAAATTCATGCTGATAAGTTTATGTACAACTCATTCTTAGTTAATATAAAAAACGATGCATGTAAATGAACAATATTGCTTCCAATTTGATCCCTATTATGCTTTACTTCAATATACAGTAACACTTATATGCAAATATAAAGCAAATGTGAGCAGTCTAGTCTTCTTATCAGTCGTTTTTCTGACTATCACTGTTTGTGGAGTCCAGAGCAACGATAACAGTTTCCACTGCATTAATCGCTTATTTCAAACATAAATTGGTCTATGTACAAGCAAACTAAATCAGAAAGTGGTGTTCATTGTGGGAGACTGAAATTAATAAACTGAGTATAACGTTGTAATGTGGTGTCGAGTCCAGATTGACCATGATCACCACTACAGGTAGATGACATGCCAGGTATTAGGTTGAATCCTTCCGTAGGCCGAAAACCAGAAGGCAGTTGACGGTTGTAATAAGATATATTTGCTGGTAATCTCGTGGTATCGAAAGAATACCGAGATCGTGCCAATGTTCACCATCGGAACACGAGTCCGTGCAAGGTTACAATCAATGAAATAATATTTGTTCTTAGTACACTGGTTATAATAATAATTGTTTGCCTCATACCAATAGCGTTCTTTTCATAAAAGTAAGTCACTTCAAGAGAACTACGCTAGAAAGGGTTTACACTTTCGATACACAACGCTTTCGTACGTGGAAGTGATCGGCAAACATACGATTGTAGGACAAAAAGCTTGGCAGAACAGGAAGCGATCTTTGATCCTCGAGTTACCACCGAAGGTCTTTTATGTAGAACGGTACTACAACGTAACAATAGTAAACTGTACAATAATGGTCTATAGTTTAAAGTAGAGTAATCTAGTTACTGAGTCGTTACACAACAAGAATATATGTGTGGCTTAACTCAGTATTATATATTTGGTACAACATGGAATTCTCAACACCAGGTATTTCAACAAGTTTCCGTTTCCTATTTTTTAATCGATCCTTCACATAAATATTGAGTGGTATTCAGTTTGATGTCAGCAGTTCGGAAATTGATATTTGAATAGTGTATATTCCTTTCAGTACTAACGGTCAGCAACCACGATGTCTCTGACCGGGTTCTTTTTTAACTTGTTACACGTGTATTCAGCAGTCACTGACATGCGGGGAAGACATGAATCCACAACATACACACAATGTTAAACGAGCACTTCACATCAAGAGAGAAAGAACACGGAATGAAGCCATCAGTCGTTTATTTTGAAATTAAAATTCGCGGGTTATGTACATCATGACTTCAACCTCGTTACACGTAAACCTTCCAAAAACGTACCTGAATAATGGTGTGTTAGAACAAACAAGGAGTTTGATAGCTTGTTGTAATATATGGATTTCAGGAACAGGCAGCTTACACTGACGTTTAAAATGTGAGTGTGGTTATGCTTCATGTTTGAGAGGCTTGACTTTTCTAGAGTTAAAATGTTCGCTGTATATTTCCATTTTTTGCTGTCCTACCATTAAACACAAAAAATGTGCATTACTTAACAAAAAGATGAAGTCAGCTTTAAACATGTGGTCTAGTACATATCCATTAAAGACAATTCAATAATAATGCGACGAATTGAAGGCATCATATGGAGCTAAATGAATAAAGAATGTTGAAAATGAGATACATTTCTGTGGGTTTGACACTTTCTGGCTCATCAAAACCCTTCAGCAACCGTTAAGTTTAATGATATTAAAAGACGAATTGCAAGTTGTTGAAAACAACGTGACAGCTTCGTTTGAGATTTTAAGGAAACCGCGAAACTGATCTTAAGTTATTTTCTGTAATTAATTTGCCAATACTGGAAATCTAGTGAAAGGCCGCGATCAGTGGATTACAATCTGTATCGGGTATAGGATAGTTATCTATCTCAGACAATAACTGAGAGTTGTGGAGCATCGTGAATTGGTTGAAATTAGACATTAACATCATTGGGTATCAGCTCACTGGTTTATTGGTTGTGAGTTTGAACGTGAGACTGATTGTCGTGGGTTCTGTTCTCATAGGTGAGGTCGTGAAAGTACACTGCGGAGAAGGCACATATTTAGAGGAATCGGCCGTCCAATGCATCCACATCCTCATTGGTGTTCCTGCTAGAAACCGGTTCGTCATTTTAAAACATGAGAACTCTATTCACCGCAGTTTGGTGTATTAAGATTTGACTATTGACTGATTGTATAAAATGACACAATTCTCATTCTCATTCTTAGATTCTACATATTTTAAGGTTAGATGATTCTGCAATGAAATGAAATCCGTCAATCTTTGTGACCTCATTGAAGTTTTCTAATGTTCAAGTTGATCTTTATAAAATATTTCAAATGTAATCAGTGTGTACTTTAGATTTCTGTGAACAAGTGAGAATGTGATTGGTCGTCATAATATCGATAATTACTGATAGTGATCATATGCTAATTGATTTCTACGTCTGAGGGGTAGTTCTATGTGATCTAATATTAAGCGTTAACTAGTGTAGATCAAACATGTTGGATATAAGAAAGACATTGGTTGTATGAAATAATAGACCCACTGATTCAGTGGTCTAGAGATTAGGCGTTTATGCACGAGACCAAGGGTTTACGGCTCGAATCCCGTATGCGGTATCATGGATGCATACTTCAGATTAGTACCACCACCCTAGCATGAAATGAAAGTTCAGTGTTTCCAAGTTTCAATGGTAGTCTAACATTGATTAGTTCATGATCTTAATGGAACTGAACAATCTCCACAACGCTATACTGGTAATTTTTATTACAGAGTTATTACAGGGGGATATCCTTCAAGGTTTATTAATCACAATATAAAGTATCAATACCTACATACCAAAGGAAGATTTTACTTGGACATTGACTTAAAATTGATAAAGCTTCATAAACCTCAAGGAGAAGAATTTCTCAGTCTCTCTCTCTCTATAAAACCTTTCCTCACTTTAACCTTACAGTCAGTATTCTTCAATCAACTAATGTTCATCAATAATCTTAGTGAAAATCTCTTGTATTCGACCAACAGATGATTGAATGAAAAATGTTCGACTCTTACTGAGATTCTTAGGGCTTCCTCAAGTCTACGCGCGGGTCGTCCGCACACTTTCAAAAAGACTCAGTCTTTATTATTTCTACTATCATCAATACTATCACTGCTACTAATCTATGAGGTTTTATTTCTTTTACTGAGTTTATGGCGGACTAAATTTTGACTGGTGCTTGATCGTACAGCTCCGCATAAACTGTAGCAACAAATTTATGACGTTTTGCAGATTATATTTAATACCGAACGTCGACAAATATACTTCATCCTGTTTACGAATCATCTGGTGTTTATGTCTGCACGAATCTTGGCGACAATTTTCACACATAAACTTGACTTCACTGATCACTGTTTCAAATATTATTTGCTTATTCATCAAGAAACTGTATCCAGTTGATTTGATTGAGATCATGAATCAGTTGATGTTAGACCACTGTTGGAAACCTGGAAGCACTTGACCGCCGTTTCGTCCTAGTATGGAACACCAACCTGGCAGCGCGCATCCACGATCCTGCTCCCCGCGAGATTCAAACCCAGAACCTATCGGTCTCGCGCCAGGCACTTAACCTCCTGGACCACTGAGCCAGCCGGCATCCAATGGTGTTAGTGTCTAACATCAACCAATCCACGAAATCGCGCGACTAACTTCCATTGTACTGAGGTAGATACCTGTCTCTATCCGATAGGGATTAGCTACGTTGTTCAGCTATTTGCATTAATAGTGGAGTAGTTGTGAAAGGGAACACGAATATCAATATAAAATGTTGATTTATCAATGTTTTGCATCGCATCTGAACCAGTTTTGAAAACAATCGATCAGTTTTCATGTGTCACCTAGTTTTAAGGTTTCAAACTGTTGTAAACTAAAATGTAATCTGCGTAACATTCATGAACTTCAATATTAGATTTCTTTTGGCTAGAACAACAAATGTACAGCGAATAATTCGACTGTATGTATTCAGAGTGAATCGATCACATTGAGGATGTAGCGGTAAATAAACCTGCAAAATAAAAGCTCTGTCAGTTTTCGACATTGGATGCTGACCATATTAGTTTTAGTGGACTCACCTAGCTGAAGGCGCTCAGTCATGCATCCGCACCAGATCACGTGTGGGAACGCCGTGCTCAACATCTACCGCAATCGATAGCCAGATTAGATCCGACGATTTCGCAATATTGGCAATCTACAAATACACTTTTCGGATCTTCTCGATTCTGCCTTTTGATTTCTCTTGGTGGGTACGAGTTATTTTAGAAGGTGTTACTGGTAGAAGCGTTGTCAAACACTGAAAACTTGTGGCATCTTCAAAGTTTTTTGTGATTGAATACCGTTGTTACCATGGCGATTCATGTTTTCGAAGAAAAATAAACAGATGTGTGTTATGTGTGGTGTAGAAGAGCATCAAGTTGAATTTGTACACAGAGATATGTATTCTATAGTTACACATACATTCAGTAGAGAGATTCCACGTACATTATCTACATTTCAGAAGTTACTTATTTCATTAACGCTATCTAATTTATGTTTCTACTTATCAATATACTTGTTCATTAGTCGAAGTAAACTAGACTCTTCAATGTTCTGTCATATGCAATCTCGGCGAGACTCTAATTAAGCGACGACCTTTGGTCCCGCTTCCCTATCTAGCCCAGCCAATTGAGTCCAGAATGCAAGTCTTAGCCTCTGAGATATGAATCATTCAATTTCAGACAGCTGCCGATAAATACTTCCAAGTGTATTGTGATGCAAATCAGTCATCAAGGTACAGATACATACATGGTGAATAACACTGATCTAACCGTTGTCCAGACACACAATGACCCAGGAGTCTTTGGTAGCCAAGGCCCAAGGAATACTGCACACTG